AACTAGATTATTTTTGATGGCATCACATTATTCTGTATAGTTAACACAAAAAAGGCATCACAAAGCACTCCAAAAGGTGTCCTCAAACTGAGGGTGGGGACATTAAAATGGAACATGAAATTCAGTGTAAGCAAGTGAAAAATGATATGCACTGGACCAAAAAATTTGTAGGTTCAAGCATGCTCACATACATAAATGGGGACTAGTGCAACTCTGACTGACCAGGAAAAGGCCTTGGGTCTGTGGAGGAAAGTTCAACAAAAAAACATCTACCCAAGAGATGTATTTGCATGGCAAGCTAACCCACCTTGGAAATAATGCACAGTGGGATGATTGCTGTGAAAACAACCCATGGTGCACCAGAGATACAATTAGGTTCACCATGGGATGTTTGGCCGTTCCCTCCCCATCAGCCTTTCTACAACTACAGGCAGTCCCCAGGCTGCAAACAAGTTCCATTCCTGAGAAAATCAAAAGTCGAATATGTATGTAAATCAGATCATGTATAGTCAGCCCTCCACATTCATGGGGTTAGGGACACGGGACTCCTCTGAAAGTGGGGAAACTGCTATCTGTAGCCCCCCACCCAACTCCCCAGTACTTCCTCTTTGGAGCAAGGAAATGCCAGAGAGATTTGTCTCAAAGGCCTCCCCCTCTCTCCTTTTGCCGCCTCTTTCGCTACGGTGATGACAGTTCCCTGCATTTTTTTAATTTACTAGGCTTTATGGCAATTTATAAGTATGGGTTTTTTGTAACTCAGGCATTAGTAACTGGGGGCCTGCCTGCATCTCAGGGGCCACTGCAGCAAGGGCAACTAGCTTGCCCCTCCCTGTCCAGATTGCTGACTCTGGCTCATGGTGGCTTTTTCTTCCTCTACTCACTTTTCCCCCAAATTCACAAAGTCTGGCCTTTGTGATCTCTATTTTAGCAAGCATATCCCAGTACATTTCCTTAGCAAAGGTTTCAAAATTCTCACAGCTGACAAGTGAAGCTAATTTACGTTTTTGCTAATACATGCAAACTTAAACAAAAACCTGTCAGCTGCTGCCAGCACATCCAAAGTGCTGTTTGTGTGCTCTGACTGGCAAAATAGGGAAGGTGAAAACCAGCTGTCTTGCCAGCTGTGGAGGGGGGTATATAACAACGTGGGGGAAGTAAAGCTGCAACAAGCCATACATGGCTTGTATTCATGAAGGAAGACATTCAAACAGTGTCATTCACCCAGAAATGCTGCCTGAGCATTTGTGGGGGAGCTGATGCTAGTAGGTGCCTGTGCGAGTTCAGCAAGAGTAGCAAGGGAATACACTGCTCTTGCTAAGCAAGCCACTGCCCAGTTCCTGGTACCCATGATGGCCTTTACTGTCCAGGTATGGCCAGAACAACCACCACCTATCCTGGGTACAACTACCCCTCCAACAAGCTACAGGTTGTCAGGATGGCTTATATAGTCAATGTATAGCAGCTGTGATAGGGACAAGTTTCATGTTGAGGACTGGGATCACTAGAAAACATCTGAAAGCAAAGCTGCCAAAATCACAATGACCTTATACAAATCTAGAGAACTGGAGAAGGCACACAAAAGAGCACCCAAAATGATCAAGGGGCTGGAACAACTCAGATGAGGAAATATTTTAATGTTTATTACTGTTTACCTTAGAAGGGAGGTCAAATGAAGGGAGGGAGGGAGCACATTACAGAAAGAGATAAATGTATGCATGGTTTGGAAGAGAGGAAGATTGTCTTCTTGCTCATAACAACAGAATCTAAGATTTAAAACAGGTAAAAGGAAGTACGCCTTTATCTAGTGCATTGTGAAATTACAGTATTTGGTACTGCAAGACAAAGTGATGGCTGCCAACCTGAATGGCTTTAAAAGGGACTTGGACAAATTCATAGAGGATGGCTATAGCCAATGGTTACAGACACAGTGGCTACATTCTGCCTCCAGAATCCAGTACTGTCTGCCTCTGCCTGCCAGTCAAGTGAAAAGTGTAAGGGCTACTGCATTCATGTCCTGCTTGGGTGCTTCTAGATGGAAGGACTAAGCAGAAGTAGCAGCACTAAGTAGAAGGCACCGTGCAGCAATTTCATCTTTTTTCTGAACAGATTTTTCTGTGGTAAGTAAAAGCAATGGAAGAAGCAGTGGGAAAAGAAAAGGAGGGTTTGGAGCAGAGCACAATGACAACATCCGGACCCGGTGTAAAGAATGTGGCGAGGCAATGGCAGAACAAAAGCCTCACCTGAAAGCTTATATTCATCAAGTTGGTCAGCTGTAGAAACAAGATGCTGGACTAGAATGACCTCTGGTGTAACACAGCAGGATCCGTGCGTGTGTGCGCGTTTGCATGTGTCTGTGTGTGTGTTTAGTTCTCCAGAACAAATATGGTTCTTAGTTATGTTAATAACAAAATTAAGCTTTTGTTATTAATCTAGATTAACCACTTCGAGCACCATTCCTTGGCAGAAAGGTAGAGCGAAAATGAAATGAACGCCCCTTTAGGCTCAATGTTAATCAAATAATGAGAGGTGAAGGAAGAAGAGGAAAAAGGCTGGACATATTAAAGTCCCCAAGTGTTCAGTTTATATGACTGAAAGAAGAATTTAGTACAGCATTAAAGCTATTCTCAGTAAAAGAACTGAATCTGTTTGGTGCACAGTTCACTGGTAGAATCATTTGAATCAGAAAACGGTACACAAATCAGCAAGGTAAGGCAGAAGTCCTGCAGAAGTCCATGAAGGAAACAATCTCTAGCTGGGACTCTATAGAGATCTGTGGGCATTCTGAATATTTAACAGGTCCATCTTTTGTAAATGTCTGGTATTAAGAAGAGTTTTCTGCGGCAGCCCCGCAATGATGCAGTCCGACATAAACATACTTGTGAGATTAGTGTCTGCAATGCGTCAGTGCAGTGGGAAAGATACAGAAATTACAAATCCACAGGTTGGCAAAGAAACAGCACTCATCTGCTTGTGGTTATTCATGCAAGAGTTCAAGCTGGCCCACCCATCCCTTTCCTGGTAGTTCTATCATCTCAAATTTGAAAGTCCTGGTATGACAGTAGGTCAGTGACTCCTTCAGATGATTGTTGGAATGGTTTCCAAGCCTGAAAGAACTACCAGTTACACAATCCTACCACCCTCCACATGGACAATGGAAAAAAGGACCTTCAAATAGAACATGAGCCAAGAAGGCCCATTTGATTGCAGAGAAAACCCAGAGCAAACATTCAAGATGAGGGCACAGCAGAATTTGTACTAGGTTAACGGCCCCCTTCCCAAGTGTCAAGCAAGTCTCCTAGCCAGTGTATGTGGTGGTAGTGGTGATGCAAGTTAAAGACTCTCTAAGAGGTATGTAGCAATCGGCAACGATTTATGAAGCTCAGCTTTCCAAGCCACAAAAAATAAGTTAAGTAACAAAATTGTATTTGGAGTACAGATTATTAGTTTGACATTTGTTTTGAAAAGAGGGGCTATTGTTCTTGAATCCACTTCAGACAGAAGGAAGCACTCAATGTGGGCTGCAGCAAGAGGGAGGCATACCATCACAGAAGCTTCCTAATCCACAGACATTACATAGAAAGCATAGGCAGCTGCTGGGTTAGAAAAAGACAGCAGCAAGAATGCTCTGCTCTTTCAAAACAACATCACACCAAGATGCTGCTTTGGTGAAAAGGCCATTTGACCAACACAGTGAACTGCAAGCTCAGTTTGTGCACAGTCAAAGCATGCCCAACCAAACTGTAGCCTCCTGTGTATCCCCTTCTGATCCCATCTGCACCTAGGAGATGGTACTAAATATAACCTCCCATAAAAAAAATAAATTGGACTGAACACGTGCTTTAACGCAGGGGAGAAGGAGCACACAGCCACCCAAGAATGAGAAATAAGACCGGGGGTGAGGAAAGGGAAAGAAGCGTTTTGTTGTTCTTGCCAGCCATACCACACAAAATTGTTTGACACCTGTGCAACCAATTTTCATTAAGCAACCAAAAGAGCATTGAATGAACATTCTGATGAAGAAAAATGCACTGTATGACAAAAAGATTGTGTCTAAAGAGTGACTATACAAATCATCTGAGCCACAAAAGTATAATGGTGAGGGAGCCTTACAGACACACAAATTATGTATAACTCTTGAGGAGAAAATTAGCTGCACAATAAACAGATTGCAAAAAAGCCCCCTGGAGTTTATGTGCCAAACTACATTTGATATATAAAAGCCTGCAGCTCTGGCCTGACAGACCTCCTTTGGGCTAAAAAGCTACTTCAGAAGGTTGCTACCAGAAGCAGAGAGGGTCAGCAGGCCTTGCCCTCCAATGAGGTCTAAAATGTGTTTGGGTAAACTCACATTTTAATTCTTGTGAGGGGAGCAGCTGGGGAGGAGTTATTTACAGTGGAGAAACGGGAGGCGAGGAGAGGTTCTCCCCTCTGTCCTTTGCTTCCCTGCAAAAGCTTGGAGCTTCATCGCCAGTGAATTGTAACATGCAGTTGCGCACACATGTATTTGTACAGTACAGCTGGTACAGGTTCCCTTCTTTTTGCTACTACTTAAAAGAAACAGTAACAAAGGCAAAAAGAAAAAAAAGCCTTGGATGGTGCAATTGAAGAAACCTCCTACCAGCACCATTCTTTCCAGATACAGATTGCAGAAGAACAATCCAAGCAAGGCTTCCCTTTAGTTGCCATCTAAGGCGGTGATGACATCCAGCTTCTTTTAGGGGAACTAACAATTTGATCCCGAATGAATCCTGTTCTAAGGACATACCATAAAGTAGTTGCACTTGCACTGTAGCCTGGTGCTGCCAAAGCAGCAGGCACTATTACAGACCTGTCCAGTGAACACAGCTTTACAGAGCTAGACAAGGGCAGGATAAGCATTAAAGTAATCATGGAGAGGTATTATTGAAGCAGCAAGACAGTATTTATTCATTCAATGGCTTTCTAATGATAGATGTTTGATGGCTTTTAGAAATCTCTCAGTGTTTTCTCGTTCTACTGACCTGGTCTGTGCAAAATGATGAAGAATATCCCACAAGGTCTGGCTAGAATGAAATGTGTCTTGGATCCTAGAACCATCATCCAGCTGCAGTGCAATTCGTACCTAAGAGATAAAACCCACTGAATTAGCACAGAAAAATGTCTCAAATAACTACTGGTAAAGCAGTACACCAAACATTGTTCAAGGTCACATCTGGCAAGTCAGCCATCCAAGATCACATCTGGCAAACAGAATCCTGGCCCTCTATCCCAGGTTTTGACTAATGTTTCAGACCAACAGACATCTGTATCATTTAGCGCTTACAAACAGTGACCCAAAAACAAACAACTGACAATGTGGATCAAGTTTTAGTTGCATTATTGACCCAATAAAGTTATAAACATCACTGTTCTTAAGAGTACAGCTACATGTTGAACAGAATTGAGTGCAGAGTCCATCATGAACTATGCTATTTCAAACTGCAAATGAGGGACTGTATTTCTGAATTGTTCCCTCATGTAGGAAACTAGCACATCAGGGAAAATCAGCAAAAGAATCAAGTTACTCCACTAATTATTTCACAGTAGCCAGCTAGAAAGCCAGCAAGAGCTTGATTACTTAACTGGGAACGCTTTCAATGGAGTTACCTTCTCATAAATGAGCTACCACAAATCTTGTTCTTTTTAATGCACCCTTATTCCTTCGTGAATTCTAAATGTCTTGCATGAAGCTAATACTGGGACTCCTCCAATACCAAGCTCAGGTGGTTTCAGTAGTGATTGTACTACCACAACTTTCTCAACAAATCTCATACCTTAACTCTTCTTAACCTCCTCTCTAAAGCATGTGTTTTGAACTTTTATATTCTCTATGTTAATACCCTGTTCCTCAATGTACTCTCATCTTACATTATCAACATTCCTGCAAGTTAACACAGGGTCAGCACAGGCAGATTCTCTGCATCCTTTTAACAAGGAAAAGACTGATACTAAAATACTGGAAGAATAATGCGCATCTCTTGTAATGCAACAGATTCCAGCATTCCTATTGTTTAGCCCTCAAGCAGCAGGAGCCACCCTTAGTCTGGACTAAGAGGCTTTTTTGAAAGGGAGGGAAAGTTTCAGTTTGAAGTCATCTCCTTACATGGGTGGATGCTTCTACCATATTTCAAGGAGAATGCTACTTTCATTTCTATTTCCAATACCTGTTGAATTTTATTAAAACAACTGTGCTTCTAAGTTTTTGCTTGAGTCCACTGAAAGAGGGAAGTGACCTGCTCACAGCAGAGGGAAACATACACCAGAAAGCCTAAAAGAGCCCATGGTTCTGGCTCACCATGTTGTGCAAACTCAGCTAGGTGGCTTGTTGCTGTGTTATACCATGTGACAAGTTGTGCCAGTAAAGGTAAGTATCCAAATCTCCCCAGGATGCATGTCAGGTGTAATAAACCACCCTGGTAAATTTCAGTCCCCATGAAGGTGCTGATACTACCAAGGGCACAATCAATTCTTTTTCTAGGCCAGTTTGCAGAATGTCCTTCATCAGCCAGAAAAGCTCTACTGGATGAGACTGAAATTATGCAGGAAAGTCAAAAGAAATCCTTCTTTGCCACTTTCACTGCTACACAATACACTCTAAACTTGTGCTGCTACTAATCAAACAGTTTTCCTTCACCTGGGTTCACTTATTGCCCTCAGCTCAGATGTATACCAAGATGCTGCTGAGGCACTGTGAAGGATGAGAGGATACCTAGGAGATGTGAAATCATGTTTCTCTCAATAAAAATGGAGTACTTGTGTGAGTGATTGCAAATGGACCTGGGCACTTTTTGTTTTCTAGCATAACAGTACATTAGATACACTGGTGTCTTTGCAGCTATTTCAGAAAGGTCATTTCCCATTGTGGAGAACAATATCACTCCCCGCACCCCCTTCCTGCACAAGCTGGGTCTCAAGACGATCTCATTACCAACTCCAACAAGAAAGACTAAGTCAATAGAACCTGCATGGGTGGTCAGATGGCTCCTACAAACACTCAGAAATAACAAACAAGCAATTCCTGGTCTGCACATGTCGAACTGGTATTCTTTTTATTTGCTTCCTGGCTTTTGATTCCAAGTCACTAGAGGGCTACATTTTCATGCTTTTAAAAAGCAATTTCTTTTAGAAAACACCAATGAAATCTCCAGAGTTGGCTACACAGCAAGAGCTGTGAACCATCACCATTATCCCCATCTAGCTCATTCCACACATAGCCCTCATCAAGGAACTAATCCAAGAGTCTGGAGAAAGAGACAGACACAACAAAATCTTTCCAACTTTTTAATAAGACTTCTTAAAGTCAACCCTAGACACCACAAAATCTCACATACAGCAGTGCTTTCATTGGCAGGATATGCTTACTGTCACTCTTGGAATGCGGTCAAAAGATGTGACCCGTGTGGAGTCAGGAGCATACCCACGGGAAGCAAAGCACCTCATCAGCCCCTAGTCACAGGGGCTAAAGTAGCCACCCCTTACAGACACGGCTTCCCTAATTCCTCATCGCCCAAGACCAACCTTCAGATTACCCTTGGCTGCACAAGAGTGCCGACAGCTGACATCACCAGGGTACAAGACTCTTGCCCAGAAATCCACCCTGCCAATTGCATCAGTTTTTTAGGCACCAGTTCAAAGCCAGGCATGTCACGAAAGTCATATTCAGGCAATTAAACTTCACAGGCATTCCAAGCTGCATCTAAATATTAATCTTTTTATCCATAAAACAGAAAGCCCATGCCAATTAGTTTCTAAGTTTACAAACATGTGTGAGTACAAGGGTGCTTAATGGCTGAATTGCTGTGCTCATTTTCTATAACAGTGTGCATCCTATGACTGCAAAAGAGTCCGCTTCCACTTCCTTGCGTAACAAAAAAGAGACATGTTTAGGGACAAACTGTGCACACAAATTCAAGAAAGACATTATTCTCTACAGATCTCAATATGTACTGTCTTACACTCTGTCTCTCGCCAAAGTTATATGTCTTCCATGACCTCATTATGTAAGCATAGTCTGTACATCTAGGCTATAATCTTATGCAAAGTTACACAAGCATTGTTCACCAATTTGAGGGACTAACATATAAACATAATATATATGTTGGGGGACTAACCTATATACACATAGACCCAGGATCATAGCCTAAGAAGAAGACATCCTAGCATAACCAAAGCCAAGAAATTATGTGGCTGTTTAGAAAACTTTCTTATTCTAGTGCTTGCTGCAAACAAAACAAAATACCACATACTGCCAGGTCATTCTCTTCCTTTGAGGGGTTTCATTTTCAAGTTAAAGTAGTACAATGAAATTTACAATGTTCCACTTTTTAAAAAACCCAACAGACTTAGATACACTCTTTAAAAAGTATACAACACTATAGTATCTGCCTCATACCAAACAGAAGTGCCAATCACAATACCCAAAACACAACTAAATTGTAGCTGCGTCTTACTTTACTCACAGAAATACATTTCCTTATTGCAAGATGATATAACATTTGACAATATGCACTAATTTTCCCCCTTAAGATAAAACCAGTTATGAAAGATACATACTCAAAGCTAGTTTACTAATTTGCTGGAGTTGTTCTCACATGAAGCTAAGCCACCATGGGTTAATTTCCTGCTGAGATTTAGCAGTATGTGCCAGCCAATATTTTAACTACACTTATAGCTTGCAGTATTGTGTGAACCTGGTGCTGAGGGTTATTTGCGGGGATAAACAATCTTCAAATACTCTACAGTTTGTTTTAGGGTTATCTGAGGGTTATTTACCCTCTCAAGTAATCCATGAGACTTGGTTCACCTGACACAGCAAGCAAGGTCACCTGAGGGTACCCAGCACAACATTTATTTTTTATACCACCCATTAGCCAAAATGGCTCTCTGGGCAGTTTACAAAGTCTACAACAGCCCTTGCTGCTAAATAAGGAAACACTCAACATGACAGTCCAGTCCTCCAAACCAGGTCATTACAGACTTGTCAGATTTGCCACTTCAGAAGCAAAAAACAGTCTGCCCAGGAAGACCTCAGAGCGAGGGAAACCTCTCAATTACAACTTACTGAGAAGTTAAATTCTAGCACCTCTGGCTGAAATGGCTTTCATCCCACTACAGGTGTTAATTAGCTTACCAACCCCAGGATGTTTATGTTCTCATCAACACTGCTTTGTAAAATGGCACAGTGCTTATTTTACATATATTTAAACTTTAATGTGTCACATTTCCCTCTGAACTCACCATTTACAATTCCAAACATTACTTAGGGCAACATTCATGGATCTAATGAATTTGACTCTAATCCACATATAATCACATATACCATAATAAACTCTTAGTATTTAAAGTGCCACTGAGTTCTTTGTTGTTTTCACACTGGAAGGTATCCCATCAAAGCATTATAGTCAAGATGATGAGCTCTGCCAGAGTTGTAAACAACAATCTTCAAGGTTTATAATAATCTGTATTAACCATGTAACAAGAAGCTAGGACTCAGCATACAGAACTGAGGGCGCAGTGCTCCTTTCCCATCTCCCCAACCTGTTATTTGTCCTTACATGACCTAGAGGAATCAGCTATGGTTCAAGAAGCTCTCTCTTTTCACAGTTTGCAATTCACTGAATGAAGGCTCAATCCTAATTCATGTTTAGTTAGAAAAACATCCTACAATTCCTACCATTAAGACTGTACCTTTAGCATTGCTTATCCTATTATTAACTCAAATGAGAAGTACTTTGCTGAAATCAAGGTAAGTCATATATTATAATCATTCCTCCCTTCTTAATTGGGCAGTGACCAATTTCAATAGTGCAATAGATTAAAATTACAAAGCTAATTTTTGTTCAAGGTTTATTAATTAGTAGGAGAGAAAAACTGCTAAAGGATTATTTCATTATTTATAGTTGTCACCTATAGTATTAATTTATGTCAGTCAAAAAAGACATTTGATTATATCTCAATTTATACAACATATGAATTTTAAATATGTCCATTTTAACTGGTTTCCTTGCAAATACCTTACTTATACATTTAAGTGTGGGTTCAATGCCTTAGGGCACTATCCTATGCATATTTAAGCAGGAAAAAGTCCTTTATTCCCAGCATGGCAGGCTGTAGCATGCTAGGAATTATAATTTTTTCCCCTGTCTAAATACAAGTAAGAGTGCACCCTTAAGGTCATTTTCCTACTATAGTCAAACAGTTTGTATTTAAATACCTATTTCATCTAAGACATTTTCCATATCTACTCCTATTCAGTCAATTCTTTAAAAAGTAAACTAATCCTATTTAATGGTGCTTTTATTGATTGCCTTTCTGGGAGACAATCCCTGGCTGCATTTTTTTTAATGCACACCAAAATGGATTATAATGCTGGAAGGTCATCCAACCTTTGTTTTAAAGCCTCTATAACAAGGAAGAGAACATCATCTTCTGAGGCAGCAGTCTTGAACAACTTTATACTGTCTGGAACTTCTTTGTAATGTTAGGTTTACAATCTCTGTGCTGTAATTTGAATCCATTGCAGACACTGAAAACAAATGTATTTCATCATCTATATGACAGTCCTTCAAATATGGGAAGATGTCTATTGTATCACCTCTTAATCATATGTTCTTCAGGTTGAATATACCCAACTCCATCAACACAGGACTCCTTTCCTTTCTCCAGGCCCCTTCATCACCTTTTTTGGCTTCCTCTGACTACATTCCAGTTTATCAGTAATCTTCTGTGCAGAGTTAGACATAGTCCCCACTTAGACAAGCATAAGCATCTCTGAAAATAAGTTAGAGGCTCTGTCCACAAGCAAGATTTCCCCTTCAGCTCTCCACACCAAAGCCTACCCAACTCAGCAGAGTCCTCAACATCCAGTGGAGGATTTCTAAGGGGCTGAGTAGCCAGGGAATCAGCTCCTACTAGCCCAGTTAGTTATTCTTAACTCTGGCTTCCACCCACTATTTATTTTGCTGAAAAAAATCAGAAAATATAACTGGACCATAAGAAGGGCCATTTGATGGTGGAATAGCCACAGACAAATTTGATTTAAGACACACTTCTCTACAAATGATTACTCATCACTATTGGATGCAAATGCACATACAGAGAGAGAGTGCGAGAGAGAGAACAATATTTACATAAGCATTAAATAACTGACTGAGATCAGCTGCACTTCCTAGATAATAGCAGGAAGGCAGGATTACCCCTCTCTCTGTGAAACACAAAACCTCCAAGTCACATGATTTCATATGTTACAGAGCTACCCTCTGTTAATATCCTTCTGGCAGGGAATCAGTCATAGAGTAAATTATGTGGTTCACTTTACCAGCTGATTTAGGATACTTTCCAGCAACTTGGTCAATGCCCGAGTGCCATAATTGGCTTCTCCTTCATGTAATGTTCATAGCAAAGCGCCTAGAATTGATGCATGGATGTCTAAAATTCTCCCACATCCAAACAGATGGTAAGAAGGCGTATTTGAACTAACCCTACATGAGATGATAACATAACATAGATACAAACTTTTGAAGATGATAATGTCCTAGAGAAAATATCTTGAACCATGTGCGAATGTTACCTTACAAAACAGTCCTATGACCTCTAGACAGCATTTTCAGAGTTGCAGCACCAATCTTGGAGCTGGTATTCTGCCTATGGATTGCCTTTCCCTCCCCCACACTCACAAGTGTCAGGGAAAGCACCACATCAGAGAAAGTACTCGGAGAAGCAGGAAGGGAAAAAGACCAGAATCATTGGCAGGGACATCTTGAGGAACCCTGGTAGCACCTCAGCCTCCTCTCCTGCTCCAAAACATGGCAATTAGACAGCAAAAATCAGTTGTCCAGGGGTTTTGCAGGGCAACAGGAGTACAGGGGCAAGTTTTGCCTTCATGTTTCTCTTGCCCAGCACAGAATGCACGTCATCCTCTAAGTTTGGAGGGTCACAGGAATCTCCACAGGACTGTGCTCTTAAAGGACTGAAGTTCTCTCACTGCCATACTATCCCCTTTTCTTTGTCTTTCTGTTTTGTTATCCCCTCTGTTCCACTGCACATTATACATGCTTGTCTAGAAGGAAAAAGGGAGAGATTGAAAAGGAGAGGGAATTCTAGTGCAGCTTGAATCCAGAAGAAATTAAAGGATTTCTTAATGCTGCCTTTCAAGAGCTGTAAAAGCTTAACAGTGCAATTTTTAAAAATATACCTTATCCACAAGAAGAACATATGATGATGTCTAACAAGAACCTGACTTCAACCTGAATATAAGCTATTCGTATCTTAAAGAAATAGTAACATACTGTGGTTTCAGTTCCTGCTCTATTATGAGAGACTGGCATCATTTCCAGTTTGGCATTGTTGGGTAGATTGGCAAACCTCCATTGTAGAGAAAGATCCAGCACAGTCCTCTGAAACCTGCAATACAAACAAGCTCAAAAGTGACCTTTTACATGAAGGCTATAACAGACCATTTTTCAAAGACTTATTCCAAGCACAAAGAGATTTTATCAGTAATGACTGCAGAATGCCAAGCTGTTATTTTAGGAATCAAAATATTAGAAGGGAAGTTTTGCATGGGCAAATATCACAGGTTCAGTCCCAAGTTAAAGATCCCTGGTAACAGAGCTGCAAAAGACATCTTCCTGAGCTCTCAAAAAGCTGCTGTTAGACACAGTGGGAAGAATAATGGACTAGATCAGCTTTCTCCAACCTGGTATTCTCCAGATGTTTTCAACTGCCCAATGGATGTAGCTGACTATTCCCAATAATCAGGAAAGCTAGACATTCTAGTCTAAAATATCCAGAAGGAAAAAGGCTGCACTAGAGGAACCCATGATCTGGTTCAGGAAAAGCGAGCTTCCAGGAAAGGATTCACAGTTCACTGTAGAGCGCACCTTTTCCTTCAAGTAGTGTTGATAAAATTCAGAATTAAAAGCTGCGTATAGAGATCACAGGCTTTACACTGAAGCAATGAATCCCCCCAACATTTACTTGACCATTTTAAATATTAATATTCTGACCTGCTAACCATTCAACACTAGTCATTCTTCCATTTCTGGCAAGCATCCTTTCGCTCATCTCCAAGTTATTTCTACATTTCAGAAACATGCAAAACCTCCAAAGCACAGTGCAGAGCCAGAGATCAGTGGCACCTGTCTCTGGAAACTAGAATGTCTGAACCTTGCTTCCTGTCCAGGAATTCACTTCCCGGACAGGCCCTGGACAGGCCCAACTCAGGCATAGAGCCATCAAAGCAAAGTAGCACTGGACTATCACTGTAGACTCCAGATCAGAAGGTTCTCCCTATATTTAACTAATGGCAAAGAAACAGCAGAAGTTGTAAGCTGTAAACAAATGAAAAAAGCAGTACAACTCACTTCAAATCATAGTCATGGGGACTATAATTCTGCTTCCTACAAACTTCTTCCAGGACCTGATGAAAAAATGTATAGCAAGTTAATTTGGAATGCAGAGTTTTCCTTCATTCTGAAAGGGGACATTTGCAGAACACATAATGCAGATTATATTAGCCACCCAACAAACTTCTCCCCCCCCCACTTTCAACTCACACTTGCAAGCCAAGTGGAGCTTCCAACCTGTATTAACAATGGCAATTACATGGGAAAGACTAGGAAGGAGTTCCCCCCCCCCCCCAACTTTATAGACCATTGGTCTGAGATCTAGCAGAGTGATATTAGGTTTATTATGTGGTCAACCTATCTCTGGATGTTAACATGATACCTTTTGGCTAGAAAGTGGAAACATTCCCCAAAGTTGTATCAGCCCTGGAGCAGGGTCCATATCAAGGAATGAATTCTGCAAAGACTAAACAAACCACATTCTTTTTTTAGGTCACCACTTACACTGGGGATTATTATTAATCTAAATGATTAAATACATTAATACTTAATTTGCAGGCATCAGGATAAGCAGCTCTAGTCTTGTAGATCAGTTATGAGAGCCAATTACAAAGCATGATACAATAGGAGAGTTTAACTCATAGAAAGGGATACATTATGCAAATCAAAAGAACTTTAAACTCATTCATATCTGTATGCATTAAGAGGCACTTAGGCTGCAGCCCTATGTAAATTTAGAAAGAAAAGGCTTTAAAAAAACCTCCCAGCATTCTCCAGCCATTCTTAGTTCGCAAAACCTGGCTAAGGAATGCTGTCAGTTGTAGGGTTTTCATGACTATACGTGCATTGGGATTGCACCCTTCTTTTCTTCCTTCTTGTGTCTTGGGCACAGATGGGTAAAAGATGCACCCAGCTGTGCTGATAAGACCACTGTGTGATTTGCAGTAAGGATCTTTGATTCCCAATGGTTTAAGAAGGGCACCAAAAAGGCTCCTACTACTAATCAATGAAGTTGTTGAAATAAAGAAAGCTTGCAGGGAAAACCAGAAGTAGAATTTTGTGTGAAAGGACTAAAGAACTGAGATACTGAAAGCAAATTTTTATCTCAGCTGTGCCCCCGCCCCCCAAGACCCAGTTCCTTAATTCTACCAGAAATGTCTGCCCTTAGCCCGTTTTGCACCTGACCCCTGCTGTGACGTTCTAATACAACAAAAAACAAAAAGGAGATGCTGGAAACCTGAAGCCGGCCTGTCATGGCGAGGCCAACAGGCTATCTTCCTCCATCTCTAGCCCCTGCGCACAAGGACTACTTTTCTCAATGTAAGTCCGTTCAAGCAGCAATCTAAACGCAGCCACTAAACGCTCCAAGGAATTCAGGACAACTTCGTTCAAAGTAAACATAAATACGACTGCGCTGTGAGATGCTTCTTCTTTAGGAAGCGTATCTGTCATGCCCTGCCCCCCCCCCGCCTCCCCCACCATGTAAAGCCGCTCTTCCTCCATTATGACAGCCTCTCCCGCCGGGGGCGGGGAAGGTGCGCTCCCCGACGGCGACCAGAGGGGCGTCCCCCGCCCCCAAAGACGAAGCTATTTGCTCCCCGCCTAAGGCCCAAGTGCAAGCGCAGGCGACTGTGCGTCCTCTGATCCAATCAGAAAGCGCCCATTGCACCCCTCTCCTGCCACAAGGCCAATCAGATTGGTTTAGCCGCATGGCTTCCCTGCTACTGGGCCAGACCCACCTGGAGCAGCACGGTGCTCGGGCCTACTCGCACCGTCACTCGCCTCCCGTTCGGGGCCAGCACCGAGACACTGAAAGCCCCCCCACCGCCGGCTACCGACATCTTCCCTCTCTTCTCCTCCTCCTCCCAACACAGGCCGGCCTCCCAGCGCCACAGCCGCCGCCCCTCTCCCGTAACGAGCTCCTTGGAGAGCTGAGCCGAATGGCCACGACGAGGGGGCGCGGCCACAACGCGGGCTGCCCCGCCTCACGCTTTCTCCCGGCTTCGCGCCTCGTCGCGACGCATAGCCGGGCCGGGATGGCTGGCAGGAGGGCGTCCTCGCGCGCCGCCGCGGGAAGCCGTCCTGCCGCTTCTGCTTCGCCCCCTCAGTGCTTCTGCTTCGCCCCCCCCCCCCCCGTGCAACGCTAAAACCTTTTCCCGCGTTTTTCGACTCAAGCCTGTTTCGCAAGGAGTCCGCGCTTCCAGGCCGCCCGAACCTTGCCACGTGCTGCGTGCGAGAAAGAGACGGGGGCTCCAGTGCGTCCTTTTCCGACTTGCCATCTCCCTGGCCCTGTTGAATTTCTGTCTGATGTACAAGAGCTGAAAGCACAGGCTCCCTGCGGGGAGGGGAAGAGAGGCAGCCTGCTTCTGTAACGGGTTAGCTCTTCATTGCTAGAAGAGTGGAGGGTCGAGTCGGACTTGGGTTCGAGGGAATCTAATATTGAAGCCCCATCCTGGAAATAATTCCAGTGGGCTTGGACAAATAACTCTTTCTCAGTCACAGTTTCCCTTTGCTTACACAGGAATGGGAGTGCTCTACTTTACAAGATTGTAAGGAGTAAAAATGGTAAAATATATTAAAAATAGAAGTGTTTTTGAAGGCACAATAATAACACAAGATACACACAGAGGACATCTGATATTCTTCCCACATCTTACTATGAGTTTATTCACAAACTAGCCCCTTTTCCTTCATTGGAGGAGGTCTCATTCTGCCTCACAGGCTGCTTCTCTGCTCATTCCGACTTTATTTATAATTTTCTACATAAAAATTCCATATAGAATTCACAGTGGGACAGTAAAAATCTATCCAGAATGCATATGACTGCAGCATATACCACATGAATAAAAATTCATGTCTATTTTGCCATTTATGCACACACAGGAAAATGCCCCAAGCACATCATGGAGTATATGCAGTTTCTGACAGATATCTGATAAGGAAATGTGTTACAAACTGTATTATCTGGTTTTTGTTCTAGTTTTTGTTATGACCTTACTACTCCCATAGCTACAAAAGTTACAGCCCACAAGCACCAACAAATAGTTATTGCCTCCAACTTCAAACATATTATGCCAACATGCACCGATTGCTGACAAGCATGAGTGGAAGGGTACTATTGCACTCGGGTCCCATTTGTGAGATTCCCACAGGCAGCTGGCTGGCCACTGGGTGAACAACATGCTGGACTAGATGGCATTTGGTATGATCTGGCATGGCTCTTTTTCTTCTGACTTCTGTGATTAATAAGAAAACATTAAGTGAGCAAGGATACGTCATATCACTAGCAATAACATTTATGATCAACAGGATTTCATTCTGCCAGTGTTATTCCACTTGTACAACCGATTCATGTAACTCTGGTATAATTAGTACAACACTAACTGCAGGAGTGGCAAATAACTAGTCTGTATTTATATGACCAACTGGGATAAAATATAGTATGAGCACTATTCTGGTTATTTTCTTTGCATTCCCTTCTCCGCCTTAACTTACTTGAACTTAATTACTTAAGCTTGCCTCCAACAAGTCCCCTAGATTGTTCCTTGCCTCCTTACTCCTCACCCCTCATCTACCTGCAGCAGAAACCCAAACCATTTGGAAAGGTACTCACCTTCCCCTACTGGCCTACCATACAGTGTTATAAAGATTTCATGCACCTGAAATATTTTTACATTGAAATTAACTATATAAATGCCAAGTATTACCAATCACTCAATGGACAAGAATAAAAAGGAAATTATAGTGAATTTAGTAACGCCATGGAGTGGTTAACAGTGAATTCCTATGTATATCTTTGCAGAAGTAAGTCCTTTTGAATTGAATGGACTTTACTCCCAGAAAAATGAACAAAGTGACACTAGCATTCCTACCACATCTTCAAACAATCCCAACAAGAAGTACTTTTGAAAAATCTTCCATGGTAATAGGTTTTACTTTTGGTGCTTACATTATTTTGCACCAAGTTTGCAGAGAATCAACATAGGTAATATGTTTTAGACTGCAAGATTTCTTAGTAAATATTCACCAAACAGTATGATTCGTTATGATGAAAAAAACTACTTTTTGTAAAAAGTGACACCATTTTTGGTTTTGGACAGGGTAACCCTTCTGTTTAGGATGCCAGCTTTTACAGTGATTTATGGCAGAAATGTTAAGTAAGAGTCCATACAAGAGCTGGAGAGGGGGAAAAAACAAAGGATCAATGAGAATGCTTGGAACTGTTCTGAGCAGATCTGACATGGACTTTTGCAGCCTCCTCATTAGTCCAACATGCTCACAATGGTCTACAGCTTTGTAAGACTCCCATTCTTTCCTTGAGATTTCTTTCATTTGCAGCAAGAACTGCTTTTGTTTGTCAAGTAATTTCTTACACCAAACATTCATTCTATCCTTTTCATTCAATTCTCTATATTTCACACATTTTTAAATGGGGTCTTTCTTCTCACTTACATGATCTTCCTGAAAGTATAACTCTTAAAAGTGTGGAGCAGGAATCCCTACAGCAGCAGAGGGAGGAAAGAGATCAAGAGGCCAGCAGAAGAAGAGGGAGGGGGGAAGAGATCTAAATAAATAAGATGGAAGTGGAGGGAAAGGCCTTAAAGGAAAAAAAATTAAGTGGAATGAGGGAAGGAAATGAGGCACGGAAATACCATTTCTGAAAGTATGTGAGTACTGGCTTAAGAATTTCAGAAAACGTCTATGAGCCCTATTAGTCAGGATAGCTGCATTGAATGTGTTTGTTCACTGACCGGACAGCTGGTAACAATGTGGGGCTGCCTCTGAAGACAATCTTGAAGCTGCAACTTGTGCAAAATGCTACAGCCCTACTGATAACAGGGACAAGAAAGTCCAAGTGCATAGCACTGTTGCTGGGTGACTTGTACTGGCTGCCTGTATATTTCCAAGCCCAATTCAAGGTGCTGCTTTTGACCCATAAAGCCTTACATGGCCTGGTAGTGCAATACCGAACAGAGCTTCTCTCCCATCAAGAACTTACTGGTGCACTATATTATCTAAAACCCTCCTCCAGGTACCCTCTGCGGAGAGGCTCAAAAGATGACAACGGGAAGAGAGCTTCCTCAGTGGCACTCCCAGGAAAGTTCTCCTCAGTGAGGCCTGCCTGGTACCAACAGTTGTCTTTTTGGTACCAGGTTAAGACCAACTCTCTCCTCTCTGAGGCCGTTGGCAGCATAGACTGAGATTCGAATCAGGTCCCAGATTTCTCTTGTAGTTGATTATGGCTATTAGCTTTGCTGGTGATGTGTTGCCTCTGTGATCAAAGGCAGGATTGTGTGTGTACAGCAGTTTCTGAGGCCCTTGGGCAGGCAGAACTCTTGTTCGCGTCCTGCTTGAGAGATCCTTGTAGGCAGCTGGATTGGTACCACTGGTCTAGCATGGCTTTTCTTGTGTTCTTATGCTTCTGCTCTGCTTGTGAACATCTTTGAGGTATCTGGCAGGGTTCTGAAAGGAAGGATCTGAAAAAGATGACAAGTTTTTGGTCTGGGTAAACAAGGATGTGTACATATTCATATTATTAATATCCATTACATTTTCTCTATTGCCCTTAGCTGAAGCTCTGTGGGCGGTTCACAACATTTATGTCACACATCCAGATTTCAACCAGGTCTGAGCCTGCTTAGCTTCCAAGATTAGGCAGGATCAGGCACTATATGGAAGCTCAGTCACCTTGGCCCTTTAGACCAGGCAGGAGGAGGTCCCTTTCCCTCTGCAGGACTGCATTCCTAAGAGTAACTTGACTGGAACTGCATATTGATGGTAGGAGGGGAAAAGCCAAAACTGGGCAAAGCCACCCAACCCTTCCCAATCCAAATTAGTAAATCATAAATTAGGTAAATATTATGAATTGTCTAGTACTGATGTGAGGAACAAGAAGTACCCTCACACACTAGTTTGAGGAACAGATGCTTCTCACTTTTATTTGCCCGTACCATTCTGTGCTTGAAAGGAAATAAGTTCTCTCAGTACCATTTGCCTTGTTCCTGTTGTGCTTCCCTTCTGTGGTGGAATAAACAAGAAAGAGTTTGTGATTGAGCCTTACGCATTATCACAAATTACAGCCCCTAGGGGGAAGTACACCAATATCTTCTTGTACTTGGGTTTTCTGTGTGTAAGTGAATTTTGGTGGTTATTATAGCAAGTGAAGCAAAACCACATGGATAGTTCGGATGTCTCTGTGTACTGTTTATCCAAGGCTGCATGAAAAAGTTAAGGTCCAACTGTAGCATCTTGAAGATAAAAGGTAAAAATTCTCCTGGTGCTTGGTGGCTTGCTTCAGCAACCAAGAGGAGCAGGCTAGGAAAAAACTCACTGGCTAGAGGGGAGAACACATAATTTTCAGCTTCAGCCCGTAGCTTCTCCAGGCAGGGCTAGGAAAGGATCCTGCCTGAAGCCTGGAGAGCTGCTGCCAGTCCTACGGGGCTGTGAGCAGCGAGAGAATGCCCTGGAGGAGTGTCAAGGTTGCAGAGAGGGAGAAACATATTTCCAGCACTTCTCCATGCACCCAGAACTCAGGAGCTTGGATCAGGACAGGAAATTGAGAACAAGGTAATGCATAGCATCTTGCTAAAGAAGGGAGTCATGTCTGACTAAGGGACAGCAGGCAAGAAAGAAGAGGTTTGGAAGGACAAAGCTGGTCCTGCTCCTTGCTGTGCTTGTAGCAGTGACCTCAGTGATAGCTGAGATTAGCAACAGTAGCTTATACAGTTGGGTAGAAAGAGACACGCTTCTACTGATGAGTGGCGTCTCATGAGGGTGGGAAGCCAGTGCCCTCACTGGATGGCTCCCTAAGGTGGCAGCAGAGACATGCTGGGGAGGGGTACACTTTAGCACTGTGTAAGTGTGTGCCATTGCTCGGGGGGGGGGGGTGAGATTAGGAAAAGATCTAGAATGCTCCATCCTTCCCCCATCTCTC